GTAATTTGAATAAATTAATAGGCAGTATGATTTAGATGGGCGTAGGTTTGTGTGCGTCCCATTCCTGCTATTAACAATTTTGTTCTATCAGACATACTATATCTTTTTGTATGTAGTATTGTAAGCCTTTATTTGTAAAGATACGAATAAGATGCCGATAAAATTTTTACAAGTTCACTTTCCGCCCTGCGGTAGGCGGCTCCGGTCGGCCTTGCAACACTTAAAATAATCGTTTGACCAGTTTTTATCTTTAATCAATGTATTAGACTATGACTATTGTAATTAGAACCAAGAGCTAACATTGACACTTTCCAACATCTATGTAACGAATCTCTTCCGAAATTACAATTGATTTGTTGGCATTTCTTGCTGAAAGGTAAACATTATATTAATTGCAGACCTCATAAAATCTTGCTGATATGAATTTGGTTTATGTGGTGCACAGAAGGACAAGATAACCCAATATTCATTTCACGCTAACGCAGGGCGCCTGGTCTGTGGGTTGTGCCAATTTCTAATAGTATTATCCAGTGTGTTTAATAATTTAAGGTTAAAAAAATTAAAACATAGCCGACTAACGTGACATATAGATAGATTAGAACATGCACAAAAAACACTTAAGGGATTTGATTCATACTTTTAAAGTTTATGACACAGAGGTTGACTGAGACGTTCTGTGAAAAATTTTGTCGCAGCAGTTATAGAAGTTTGTATTTTTAAAAAAAGCGATTAATGTCTTGCAGTGAAAGGTTAGATCGACCGATAAAAACATTTGATCCCGTTCAAGAACAATTCGATTAAAGCTGAAATTTCCAAGAAACTTTTACCGCGTATAGAATAGCCTCCGCCACTATGATTTATAGGGGAAAGTCAACGTGAGAGGAATTAACGGGCAGTAATCGGGTAGTATAATCACTTCAGTGGTATTGGGTCAAGAGAATATGGGGGTGGGCTGATAAAATCAGTATATGCAACCATAAGAAAAAAGGTTTTTGCCTTAATGGATACAGGTTTTCTTTTATATGCTACCATATTAAAATCAACGACATTATTTTAAGTTTCACAGGCCATAGAATCTTTTCTTTTATGATAGTTAAAGACTGTGTAATCATTGTGTCTTATATGATTCGTTGTTTGCTATTTTTCATAAATTGACATCAAATTGAATGAATCACGAATTGTTTTCTTTTGCTTCGCCCACACAAGTGTTAAAATTTAATTAGCGTTGTGTAAATCTTGTAATCAGATTCTGACGGCATATAATGCACCTATTACCCAAATTTACTTTATACCGCTGTCAGATGAAATTGTGGCTGCCAAGAGGGAAATTTCTGTTCAAATTTTGAATTTCCGCGTCAAGCTAACGAACGAATTGCCGGTAAGTTGGACTGCTATTTTACCATTTTATTTAATTCCATCTTATTTTGTTGCCTTTCATGCGAAAAAATAAATTTAACTGAAAGTTGTCTGCCAAAGGGCTTTGTACGTGACAGACTCCGAAAAAAAAAATGCTACAGGAAATCTTTCTTTGTGTAGGGATGTTAGGATAAAATATAAACTAATTTTATAGGGCTGCATGGCTCTTAGCAACCGTTCACTGCCCTGAAACTTCTCTAAAACAGCATTAACCCTGGAAAATCTCATGAACAACCGATCATCAGTGGCCGAGTTTTCCGTTTTTCCAACGGGAGTTTAGTATTATACCATTATACAGAGGAGTTAGCAAATTATCATAAATTGAACTATAATTATAGAGAACAAGCTTTAGCGATCACACATTGACATTTTGGTAACATAATTAGAAGTACGCCGGAGGCATGTTAAAAAGTATATGGATATGATATATTTCCAGTGTAAAAATTAGATCACATCAGCTATCCCAGGACTTGTGCCCAGCATGCACACCCGTGCTAGTCTCACTCAGCCGATCCGCGTCCACATCACTGAGGAGCCCTGGGTAAGACTTAAAGGGTTGGGTTATGGTCCCTAACTTCACATAAAGAAATCCTAATAAAAGCCTCCTTTGGTACGATCGGTTAATTCGTGGGTTGTGAAGAATCCTTCGCAAACGAAGGACTGAACTTACCAAGCGAGAGAGTTTGTGACTTGCTGTGATAGCCAGTCAGAGTGCTTTTAGTCTTTTTTTGCTCGACAGCTTTGCTTAGAATAAATCTTAGTATTTAGATAATAATAGGCCATTTCTGAGTTGCCCCAAGCCTCTGTTTCAAAGCGAGGCTAAGTGAAACCGTTGATATGAAAATGATTTTTATACTCATGTAAATGGAAATCATTATCACAAGAAAGGGCTTGCACTTAACCTCGCTTTGAAAGGGAGGGTTTTTGGAACCCGGAAATGGCCTGTTATCCATTCTTTGCAACGAATTCCCTGTCAAAAGTACTGACAGGTCATGTCTTGTAATTTTAACGTTTGTGTGCACTTGACACTAGAAATTGATGTGAGCTTGACAACGATATGAATTTTTCACAGCCCTTTATAACCTGAGTATCAGGCCTTCCTTACGGGTTAGGAGAGGGGGGATTTCGCTGTCTCTCCTTTTGGCTCTTTCTTCTCCTTTTTCCCCTAAAACACTTGATACTCATTGTCTTGTTCCCAGTCGCTCGCGATCACTTTTTGGGAGATATTTGAGCTACTTATTAAAGGAAAGCGAGGGCGAAAGTAGACTCTCCTTTTCCTTCCCATCACTCCCTGCTCGCGCTCGGCGCTCGTTCCCATCATCCCCCTCTCGCGCTTCTCGCTTGTTCCTTGCTCCCGACTAAGCCTTGGAAAAGCCTGTAGAGGAGTTATACAATGATACCCCTTTTAGTAAAATCCAACTAGTGGTCTATTATCAATGCTGCGTTCTGATTGGTTGATCTACTACTAGGCTATATGCATGTTATAGCCCACTAGTAGCGAAAAGCGCCGGCTTTGAAAACCCAAACAATGGCGACTGAATCGCATTTTGCTAGCTTAAGTTGTTTTGTCTCGATATTTTTGACCAACTAGTTAGATTTTACTAAAACAATTATTCCTCTCTCCCTTTATGGCCTCTAAGTTTTTCGGCCTCATGGGCTATTGACTCAGAGCCCATTTGGGCTCGAGGAATAATTGTTACTAGCCAGCTCCACTTCGGTGAATAATTGTTATAAATGTAGTAAACTTTAACGTTAAATGCAGTAAATCACCCGACCCTAAATGTAATGAACTTTTAGTGATAACTTACCCCACTGTAAATGTAATAGACTTTCACCGCTAAATGTAATAACACAGTTATAGCGTAAGAGACATTGAATATTCATACAAATGTTTTTTTCCTCCGTTCTGACTAACCACAAAACATTTTCTGGCCAAGTGTTGTCTGAAACAAAAATATGATAAGAATGAACTGGGGTAACGTTAATTTATGGGTGGTGTGACCTGAGACGAAAATGATTATGTGACTGTAGAAATATACTGTGAAAGTTGGCCTTTTGATATCCAACATCGATCGTTGCCTCGATCCAGGGATCTTCTGTGAGAGGACCCTGGAAACGAAGTTGAATATCCTGCCGCCGAAGCCGTTGTCCCTTTTGTAAACAGTCGCTACCATTTTTAAGACATTTGGAAAATTTTTGACCTGTTATTCAGAGTGTTTCTATGAAAAAGAAAGAAAATCGCAACGCAGTGTCGAACCCGAACCTTTCGTATCCTTATATCTCCCCCTTACCACTACACTACCACACCGACCCGCCAAAATTCCGAAAACGTTAAGTACATAAACTAACAAACTGTTTTCTTAACTGATACGTCAATAAAAGATGGCCCTAGCCCTTTCCATAACTTTTAACGTAAATTCAACTTAGCTTCAACGTCGTCCGGCTTTCCATAGACTTGCTACAAGTCGACCTCTCTTTCGGGCGAGCGGAGCGAGTCTTTTTTGGCCGCGAAGCGGCCGACCACGAACGACGATATGAGATCCGACGAAGGACTTTTTTGAAAGTCTAGGCTCTACACTGATCTATGGATGAATTCGTAACGCAAAATTTTGTTTGTGCTTCATCTTTTACAACGCTTATATCTCAGATGTTTTAGAGGCGATTTAGATACAATTTTACAGAGACATTGTGAAATGATGGAAGTTTAGGAGGGTTGTTTTTTATTTGGTAGATCGCGCTCGACAGGGATGCTTTAAGCCGCAGTTGTACCAAATTGGGAAATTGTGATTTTGTGTCCAGGTTTGCGGAGAGAATACAAGACAGCACTCTGTGATTTTATAAATAAATGATCGGTCAAAACCTCTAGTGTGTCATATATTTAGCAGATTTTGCAATTTAAAATTTGCCAGAAAGATATAACCGTTTAAATGAGCAAACTCTGTCATCTCTGAAATTAACGCCCTATACCTTTTTATAAAAGCGCTCTTTTAGAATTCCATTCATTACATAACACACTACAATCTACCAAGTTTACCCCTCTGCAGTGCCAGCTCGTGAAGTTTTGCATCTGCGCTGAATTCTTGGACACAAAATTGTCGGAAAAGTCAAATTATGAGATTCCTGAAGGTGTCCCAGCTAACACACTAGATAGAATTATGGAAATTATGGTTAATCACATTCCACGCTTTAATTTTGTTTATAATAAGCAATGTGTTCAAGGATTTTTGAGGCGAAAAAAAGAAACTTAGAAAGAGTTTTGGTATATTGAAATTTCTAAAAACTAAATAAATAAAGGACTGGACTCCCTAAAATGTGGACAATATAGATATCTCTAAAATGCTCATACCTAGAATTATCTAGAGAACGGAAACAGAAAAAAGTGAAATTGTCGACTACTACGTTGTATTACACCGACGCCATTGTATATTGTTTTCCTTTGTTTAATTAAAACTATTTGGCACTAGTTGTTAAGTGCTGTTTCTCGGGTTAAGTAAAATCGTTCTGAATGTCACAGATCGTCTTGATATTAACGTCTGATCTCTCCATTTTGTCAGGTACGTTCTTCGGTGAAAGGGAAAGTCAAAATGGACGATGGGTCAACCGACGGTAAGATAACAGTCAACATTGTTAAGCGCAAAACAGGTGGTGTCGGCTTTTTGGCGGTTAAACGCAATTTTAGCCCGTATCTAGCCGTATCGCACGTTGTAAAAGGTGGCGTAGCTCACGAAACGGGTTTCATAGAAGCTGGTGACATTATTCTTGAAGTGAATGGAAAATCTTTGGAAAACGTGCCCTATCTCACGGCGTTGGAGATTCTTGACAACATTCCGACCGGGGAGACATTGACATTAAAAATTTGTGCGCGGGATGGGTTCCATGCGCATTTGGAAACAGCGTTCGACGAGAACGGCGTTGTAAAGACTGTTCGAACTACAAGACCTAAAACGCCGCCCAATGTTATAAGCATGAACGGGAACGTCAATGGAGAAACTCATGAGTCGACATCAGAGGAGTTGCGTTCAAATGGAATTTCAGAAAAAGAACGGCACGAAAAAGAACGGCTCCTACGCCACGAAGAATCATCAACAAATTGCAAAAAAGTGGAGCAGGAAATTCCCTACAACGAAAGCAAAGTATGCAGAGAGTCAATTGGCGTCCAAACATGTCCAGTTGCAAATGGAACAGTGAAGCCGCAGCAGCAAAAATATGTCAAGCTGCAAAACCTCGTTGACGGCAATTACACGACCGATACCCTTCATCAAAAGGCCATAATTGTAAGTTGGATAGATATAAAATAAAAGTAGCAAAAACTTACCTTTTTTGCCATTGAAACAGTTCAAATGAAAAGAAATAGGTTAAAGCTCGCAACTGGTAAGAAACTTAGTCTGGTATCTTCCATTTATATTGGTAACCTTCCTTTAGTCACATTCCCAATACTATTAAAAGGAAGATGCCGATACACCAAAAAGCACTCGTCTCTCACCAGTGCCCACGTTTGAATCACGAAAAAACATCTCTAGTTGAAAGAGAAAAAAAAAACAAGTGTAAAAAAGTGACATCGCTTTCTGGTTTTTCCCCTAAATATTTAAGTTCAAAATACGGGCGTGACCCTTGACCCTTCGGTAAAATGGAAAATTATGCAACTTCGGCGCCATGTTCGTAATAAACGTGGCCTAAGAAAAAAATATATCGATGCTATTTTGACTAATTCTAGGCGTCATGCATGCAAAACACAGCCATTCCAGATTAAATTATTCACAAAGTTGCTTATAAATGACAATTAACTTAAGCTCACAAAGAATTATTACCATTTGCATGTGTGCAATAATTTCACGATTGATTTCGTTTCCTAGCCTGCGTAGCTAGGAAATAAATGGGCTATTCGTTTCCATTTTAGTTTAACGAACGAGCTGGCCTGGATATAAATTTTGGAAGATATCGAGATTCAAGTTTGCGCTTTTCAATGCTCAATGCTCAGCAACATTGTAGTTAGAGAGTGAAATTGTAGTCGCCACGCGATTTACCATGCTTTGGGTGAACACAATTTCGACGTTTTTAAGCGTGCTGTTTGTTTATGTTTGTCAAGCAGTTGTTAGTGGGTGGGCGCGAGAATAGCCGATATGGTGCGCTGAATTATTCGTCTTCCGGAATAACTTAATAAGGGCAATACCGGGTATCTGAGATATTGCCCTTTGTACTAAATTAAGGAGCAGCTGAATCAAAGCATTCATCCTGTTCGCATTTTTGAGATAAAGGGGGGGCCCTGTCATCCGGACCCTTAGATAAGGGAGGGGGGGAGCGATCTCCCAAAAAAGTTTTTTCGGCCCTTCGGGCCTCAGTTTGGTCTGGATCCGTCACTGCATTTATTCTTAAGCAAGCGAGATTACATAATATATGGCTTGTTCAATATGATCATTTGAAACTTGGCACTTGTTAAAATGTAGTTGATAATTTTTTTACCACTCGCTCGCAAAAACTCTTTAGTGTGCCGATCTCTGTGTAACACTCTAACGTTTCTCCTCAGCCAGTGCATTGCACCGCGGGTCGTTGTGTAGGTTCCTTGATGCAGCCCTCCGGTGGAGAGGCCCCATCTAAGAGGTCTTATGGTGTGCCAAGGGAACCAGAAGAAGTCATGATCCAAGCTAAGGACTTCCTGCAACAGTATTATGGAGCTATGAAACTGTAAGCATTGTATGCACGTTCTCTTCTACGCTTTTCTCTATCATGCCCCTTTGCTTTTGCTGAAGGTGGTACTTGATACACTTTACAAAGGGTCAGACCGTTGATCTTTTCCAGACTGAGAGTCAAATTTAATTCTCGCGCCAGACATGGGATTCTAGCTCTTCATCGTAGGATTAAGTGAAGAATTTGTAGTTGAACCATTTGACTGATAAAGCAAAGAGAAAGGTGGACAACCCACATATGGCGTCAAGGTCAACTCGGGACTTAGACCCAGGCCACCTTGATTGGAGGAGAGTGCCCTCACCACTGCACCACCCTTGCTCCCTTGCTCCCCAACAGGAAAGAGTACAGTATTGCTTCTTAAGTAGCACTCAAATCCCGTATCCCGAATCCCGCACGGTATATCAGTCTAATCCCGGGTGCTGAGAATACTACTACATCAAAAGTAAGGGTTCACGTGATTCGTTCCGAGTCTCGTTTTGTTTTTAATTCAGTCAGGACAGCCAAGCCCATCAACAGCGTTTGGCTGAGGTGATGAAAGAGATTGAGAGGAATGGAACCTATGATCTGACGGAAAAAGAACTGATCTTCGGCGCAAGAATGGCTTGGAGGAACGCGTCAAGGTGTATTGGTCGGATACAGTGGAATAAGTTACAAGTCAGACTGCTTACTATTTTGGTGTTATGATAATAAAAATTTTTGGATGAGGTTTTTATGACTTTAGTGATTTCCGGAATAATCAAGGTAGGTAGGTTGGAGGTAAGTGTTGCTGATAACACTTACGGAGACCTTGATTGTTCTGGGTATCACAAAAACCTCATAGAATAATTGTATTACTAGAAATACGTGCATCGCATAACTTCGCGAAGGTCGGGGGAGGGAGGCCCGTAAAATCTCAAGGATGGGATGGTGGGAGAGAAATAGAGTAAGTTGAGGTGAGGGCGGGTTTTAACAACGGCTCTCGTATTGAAAGGTGATATACACTCTTTTTCCTTTGCTTGGAATAATCTCGAACCCAGTGCCCTAGCTTTAAAAAGGGCCTGAGATCTATGAAGGGTAGTCATACATCAAAAGATCTATAAAACCTAACTATTAAGTATAATGGTATTTAAAATGATAAATATATTCCTAAGCGCGCGCGACAAAATTATAAACCTTCGCTACGAGAGGGCCAAATCTTATTACAGTACAGTCGAACCCACCAGTATAAAGCTAGTTTTGAAGAATCCCGTTGGGCTAAAACTGAATTTACCCCTATGTACAAGAGCCTTTTTAGCCTAAAATTTGAAAACAGATACATTTTCTAATGAATTGCCAATGAATTTCAATCCATGGTTGAGTTAAATGCAAGATTATAAAGCGCCATTTAATTTTATATTTGTGTAGAGTGTAATAACCTGTTAGACCTGCCCGAGTGTAACTAGACAAGGCAACACAGTCAGTAGATGTTTGTTATGATCTGAAGGAGGACTTCAAAATTCATGTGATCACTGCAATTTTTCTTAAGGTGGTCATTTGGTATGCAGAGTTTCTATGTTGTTCACCTGATTCGAATATTTTTTCTATTGTGTAGCTCTTTGATGCTCGAGATGTGAACACACCTGCAGAAATGTTTGAGGTGATTTGTAAGCACATCAAGTACGGAACAAATAAAGGGAACATAAGGTGATCATATTATGTTACGTCTTCTCAAAATGGCCTTCAAACTTAGTTGTTACGTGCATGTGCTCCTTCTCGTATTGTCTTGGTCTTTAGACAAAATACAGTCGAACCTTCACAAACGGATTCGACTGTACATTTGGTATGAACGGTTCGCTAAGTTAACTTTAAAATAGGAATAGTTGTTACTCGTTGCTACCTTATCTTCTTTGTTACTACATTTAGGGTAGCTATTGCGCTGATCTTTAAGTTTTGTTGTCGCAGGTCCACTATAACTGTGTTCCCACAAAGAAAAACTGCACATGAGGACTTCCGTGTTTGGAATACTCAGCTGATTCAGTATGCTGGCTACAAACAGCCGGACGGCTCCTGCGTCGGAGATCCCGCTAACATTGAGTTCACTCAGGTAATAAAATGAAACTACTAACCTTGTCTTTTCAACTTGAAGGTGTTTTACCACATCCCACAACTGGCATTGTAGTTTACCTTCCTCTAAGGTCCAATTTCCGAATGTTCTTCACGGCAGTGTTTTCTTTTGCTTTTATGAGTTTCATAAGTCCTTTTTTTTCTGCTAAAAATTGTGCCTTGAGCTGCGCACGGCATCTTTTTCATCGTTAAGCTTTGTTGAATTAAGAATTTTCAAGGCTTTTCTGCCTTCAAGCTAGTTTCCATTTTTTGGTTAGGTCGTTATTCTTTTCTACTTTGTTGCTGGACTTTTTATTTGCAGGGCGTTTAAACTTGAGATCATCGGAACATGGCAAGTTTCAACACAAGTTTGTTCTTGACATCCTGTCTGACTAAAACGGACCTGTCCTGTTAAAAATCGTGCGCGTTTTATCGCTACTACGCATGCCAAAATACGTTTGTACGATATCCTTGCTCTATCACCTTTGGCCAAATGCCAAACGTTCCTCACCTGTTAGTGTGGTCTCTCCATTACAATTATTTCATCGTAACGTAGTTGTTTTAGACTGCAAAACAGTCGTTTTTTTCCTCAAAATCAGTAAAGAAATCGGTAAAGCGTGGCGTAAGAGTCTTACGCGCGCGAAGCGCGCGAGCCTCACACGCCCGTAGGGCGTGTGAGGCGAGAGAAAGCCTCGTTTGACTGCTCGCGCGTACTTGAATACGCAAAAATACGGACTGTTTTGCAGTCTATAGTTGTTTGTAAGCGCTGGTACTCTATGTACTGCCAGCCTCTGTTGGCTGTAAACATTGAGGCTGTTCTCATTAGTTTAAACTTAATATGTGTAGCAGTTTCAGTTGTGTCATGTTTATGTATTTATCTTCAGATTTGTGAAAAGCTCGGTTGGGAAGGCAAAGGTGGCCGTTTTGACGTTTTACCGTTAGTTCTTCAAGCTCATGGGGGAGATCCTGAATTTTTTGAAATTCCTCCTGAAATAGTACTTGAAGTGGAAATCAAACATCCAAAGTAAGAGTCAGAAGTAAAATACTGCCATATGTTATCTTTTTAGTCTTGTCCTGCCTAGATTAGCATTATAGCTATTTGCAGGACATAAAGTATTGTAACTTTATATTTCTTTAAATAAATACATTGTTGTTGTTGTTAGAGAATTAAAAGTCCATCGGCTGTTACCGGAAATTTTGTACCGGCAAGTTTCCAAGAACTAATGTACTCCTCCGATCCGTACAAAGAATAAACATGTTGGTCAGTGCAGATGACCATCGCTCAACCTACATTTGATCTCCAAGACTAAGAGCGTAAACGTTCTCTTCCTTTTTGATCCTGTGTTGGTAAAACGTGTCATCAGATTCTATGACAGGATTCGCACAGTCTTGAAAAGTCCTTGAATGTTAGGGGAAGTCCTTGAAAAGTCCTTGAATTCCATTTTTCCTTGAAAAGTCCTTAAATTTCTGTGCGAGTCCTTGAAAAGAGCTTGAATTTTCTTCAACTTTGAATGCAGTAGCCTGGAAAGAATTTTTTGATGCTTTTTGGTAGTCCAAGACAGTATATAAATCGTAGCTCAGTGAATGTAAAGGTCATTGACATAAAGTGCTCCATGTTTTATGCAATAATTAACTATCAGTTTAAGACAAGTGAACTGAAAAATGTAGAGAATTTGGTGAAACAAACAGTTAAAGCCTTAAAGTCTTATTAGAATATACGGGGAATATGCATTTTTGTACAATCTGTGAAATTATATTCCTAGTAGGTTGTCCTTGAAAATCTAATGTGGTCCTTGAAAAGTCCTTGAAAAATGGTTGCAATTTTTTGTATGAACCCTGTATGATGTTACTACTTTGAACCTTTTTTGGAAATTGTTTGGAGTTGCGATTAGAGATTTTGCACTCGTCTTAACCGATTCATCATTCGATTGTTCGATCGACTCACCGACTGACGGATGGATGGATGGAAGGACGGACGGGCGGACTGAGCCTTTGTGACTGAATAAATTTATGACTCAAACTGACTTATTGAGAGATTCGTTGATAGGTTTCTCTCTTCCTGTTGTTTTCTCATAAGGTTTCCATGGTTCGAAGAACTGGGTTTGAAGTGGTACGCATTACCGGCAGTGTCATGTCTATGTCTGGATGTTGGAGGAGTAGAAATGCCTGCCTGTCCGTTCAATGGATGGTAAGTTCCCTGACTGGTGACCTCGCCGGATACTAGAGACCTTAAGATTCACCTTTTCCGTGTTCGGGTACGGGTAAATTACCCGTGCGCGTAGCCGTAAATACGGGGAGATTGACCTTACACCAGAGAAACAGGTAGACTACTGGGTAGGACGGTAACACCATTATCATATCTGGGAAATCATGGCTACCATTTATACAACTACGTGGCGAACATGGTCGCCTACCCGTAGCCGTAGGCAGAAACGGTGTATCTTAAGGTCACTACTGCCTCCAGTGATTAACGGGACATTTCCCCATGTCATTTCCCGTTTGAGCCATGTCTCTCAATGCTGACCGCGCGTAAGGCAATTGGTGCCTGATGGGGTTACTGTAGGAATTGCCTGAAGCGACGCTTAAGTATTTTACTCGCGCATTTGGGTCAAATTCCCGTCAAAACTTGTTTTTAAAGAATGACAATTATGCTCGAGTTAAATACCTAAGCTTAGCATCGGACTTTTCCTGAGGAGAAGTCTACACACCTGATCCCTGAGCGCTCGATCAACTTTATAACACTTGAGAACTCTCAACTTTCCTTTTCCTTTCTTTTTTGTTTTGTTTGCAATTTTTTTTCTTTTGGTGAACTGAGCTTATAAGTCTATTTCTCCTCAGGTACATGGTGACAGAAATTGGTGCACGCGATTTTGCAGATCCCATGCGATACAATATGTTAGAGGTGGGTTACCGTTGTCAGCATACTAGCTAAGTGCGTAGTAGGTCTATTCCTTAGTGTTAAACCCTCCTGACTTGTCCCCAATCCTCTCTATTTAAATCGCACGCGGAGGGAGGAACGCGAAACGCGTGAACGCATGATCGAATGGCGCGTGGAGGGTGATGGGAAGAGAAGATTTCCTCCTTCCTGTCAGCCATCGGGCTCCCCTTGACTGGCTTCTCTCGTTAATATTCACAGGAGTCTGAGAGATGACCGGGGACGAGTCAGCTATCTCTGCCTAAGGCGTAAGCAATGTTGTCATTTGTTTTACTTTTTACTTTCGTAGCCTGTAGCAAAACGAATGGGACTTGAGACGAAGAGCTTTTCTTCTCTCTGGAAGGACAAGGCCTTGGTGGAAATTAATCTTGCAGTGTTGTACAGTTTCCAGGTTTGTCTTCCCTTTCCAAGGTTATCTTTGGTGTTACACATACCACCAAGGAATTACTTCTTATAAATAAAATTTACTGAATATATTAATAAAGTTTCATAGTCATAAGTTCGACCCTGAGCTCGCTTATGAACCAATGTATCCCCAAAAATATCAGTATAAGAGTCTTGGAAACCACCCACCTACCCCTCTTCAAAACCAACATCAAAACTAACTTCTTACTCAGGACAAAATGTTGGGCTGGGGAAGGAGTAGATAGCCAGCTTCCCAGAATCTTAGAATGATCAACAAAGTAAACCGTTTGGAAGCTTACGGGCCTGCGAGAAACCCTACCGGAAATAAATTGTCAACAAGGTGGCACTCTTAGCACACAAAACTAACTGAAGATATTAATATGATTTCGAACTTAAGAATTTCCACGTTTCGTCAGCTTCTATTTTTCGCTCATAGAAATCTCAGTCTAGTAGTCTTGCACATCCAGAGCAAGTGCCGGGGTTGCCCTCATTTTTGAGGGTAAGGTCGTAATTCTGTTTTTTGCCCTTTAAAAATTAGGGAAGTTAAGCAAGGACGTTTTTGAGCGATGCGCGTCAACCGGAATTGGCCCTTTTGCAATACTGGACAGCAATTTTCCCAAATGTTCTGACAATTCGTCTCAATAAGAGTAACGATACTTAGCAAGACACATTTGGTAGCATCAAGGTATATTAAAAGGGAAAAGGCCTCACTTCCTGTTGACGTGCGTCAACGGCTTAAGCTTCCTACTGAAACCTCTTTCGCCAACCTCGTTCCCAGGGTCCTCTCCTACTCGTCCCCAGAAGCGAGAGAGGGGAGGAACAGGAGAGGACCCTGAGAACGAGATTGCTCTTTCAATCACAGAAGTTTTTTTAATTGTTTAATAACTGAAATTTGGTAGTTTCTGGAAATTTGGTGCAGCATTGAAAATTGTAATATGTGGTCCTTTACTGTTATCTTTTAGAAAGCTGGAGTGACCATCACTGATCACCACAGCGCCTCGGAGTCTTTCCTGAAGCATTTTGCGAATGAGGTTTGTTGTCTGTATGCTTACAGTTTACAACAGTTTACTGTCGTTTTATGGACCGTTAATCAGCGACTATACTGTATGGTGTATTGTCTTGGAGCTCTTTCAATCTGGCGCTAGGAGGCCCTAGAGGTGTAGCTGTTTCTCCCACATAACCATGATCGCAGCGTTCATATTAAACATGGTAGATCACATCGCATCGCTCTAGGGTTAGGTTATATCTTTCTCGCGCTGTTGTTAAACGGCTTGTGATAGTAAAAGATTCACTCTATGTTGTTTGAAATAATTAACATGCACTAAACACTAAATGATATTGTTATAACAGCGCACGCTCTCATTGGCTACTTCGAGGTCATATGATATCTAACAATAAAACTGTATCCCGCCAAAATCTCTGAGCGGGCAACATAGCAAAATCTATGTTGTTAGAGGGTAAGTGCACTGTTCCCCGCGAATGTTGACCAACGACGACCGTGGTTAAGTGAATTTCCAGCTATTTAACAAATCATTTTAAGACTGGTCCCTCGGGAAACAGTTAATTTTTTTTTACTCGAATCTCGACTTCGCCTCGCGAAACATTAAGATTCTCGGGAAACAAAATAAACTGTGTCCCGAGGCTCCAGTCATTAACTGTTTAATGTTTGCCTCGATAGATGAAATTCCGCGGGGGCTGTCCTGGAGACTGGGTGTGGATTGTACCTCCTATGTCAGGCAGTGCCACTTCTGTTTTTCATCAGGTTAGTCTATAAAGTGATCTTAGACCGTTTTTGGAATGTCGTAAAATTCCGAAAATAAGCCCCTCCAAATATAAGCCCCCTCCCCCCCCCCCCCCCCCCCCCAAAAAAAAAAAATCATAACTCCAAAAATCCCTTGTTAAATCGCCCCTCCGAATATAACCCCCGGGGACCTATACTTGGAAACTACCCTAAAATACAAAATAAAAAAGCAAAAACAGTACAGTAACCTATTTTTTTATTACTGATTTATCAAAGAATTATTACTTGTGCCAAATGATTGTAGTGAAAAAGCGACACAGTTAATTGCTATCTGCGTGGTTCACTCTTAAATCTTGGCTTGGATTTGTTTTTGTTAAGATTCATTTTTTCTTGTGAACAGTGTACCGTACCTTATTATTGACCTTTCTTACCTTTGAACTGAGTATTGCGTTTTCACTAAAGTAATTTGCGGTTGCCTTTTTGGTAAGATTCCTTTTTTCGAGTGAACAGTGTACTGTACCTTATTATTGATCTTACTTTTCCTGTGAACTCACACTAATTTTTAGGGAGTTATTATCACTCCAAAAATAGAGTACAAATTTTCGGTACAGGATAACCCCTTGTTGGGGTTACTTTAACTCCTCAATATTAGCTCCAAATCTGGGGTGATTTTTACTCCTGGAAAAGAGTTCTTTAAACTCCTTTTTGGAGTTAAAATAACTCCGAAAAAAAATAATTCCACTGTAAGGAGTTAAATTGACCCCACTAGAGGAGTTATAATAACTCCTTGAAAATTACTGTGCTGAGTATTGCGTTTTGTTAAGATTCATTGTTTCGTGTGAACAGTGTACCCTACCTTATTATTCACGTTACCTTACCTGAGAACTGAGTATTGCAATTTCAGTAATTCAAGTACTGAATTTGCTGTTGCGTTTTATGTTTGCGTGGCTGAGCTTAGAAAGCTCTACGTCCTCACGTCGAGTTTCGGTAAAAACTTCGTGTCAATTACTGACATAAATTTCCTTCCAACTATAAGCTACCCAATCAATTTTCAGACATAAATTTCCTCCAAGTATTTGTCTAGCCGATGTTGTAAAGCAAATCTCCCTCCGATTTAAGCCCCTCCAAAAATAAGCCCCTCAAAAAGGAAAGGGCCTTTGAAAACTATAAGCCCCGGGGCTTATTTTCGGACTTAAGGTATTGCTGTCCTTAGACAATTTTTTTATGTTTTCGCTAAATTGGCTTAGTTTACGAAATCTCCTTTAAACGCTTTTGTTTCTCTTTAAGACCGAACATCAAGAAAGAAGGATTACACAATTCTCATGTACTCGAAAAGAACTACTTTTCACATAACATTGGAAGTTCGTAAAAACAAGGGAGCCGCATGATTTAAAATAACGAATGATGTTGGGTTTTTTTTGTTCCCCCCAGGAAATGCTGAATTACTCTTTAAAGCCTAGTTATGAATATCAGGTACGTGTTTTTGGTACTGGTGTTGTTACAAGGACGACGGAACTCCTTGTGCACCGTTACTGTGATTGCAAAGCTCAATTATGGTTGCTGGATCGCAAACAATTTCCTCCGACTTTGAATTTTATGTTACCGGTAAACCTCTTCGTTGGCTTCACATTGTAAAAGTGATATTCATGGGTAGTAACATTCACTGTTGTTTATTAAAGTGGATTGCCCGTTCCAGGCTTTCAGATGGTAAGGAGCGTACTAGATGATGAGCGCAAATGAAAAAAGGAAAAGGAGGGGAGACTGAGGCATCGCCCCAGTCTTCCCTGGTTTTTTTCCCTCGTCAAATTTTCGCCTGCGCTGTACTGGAACAAGCTATCCAGCTAACCGCCAGCACACCAGAGATGTCCACTGGCTATCTGGATTTTTCTGTTTAGTTAGTTAGTTAGTTTCTTTGTTTGTTTTAATGCATTATTTCGCTTTTGTAGGATAGTGCGTGGAATCATTATTCATTTGAGAAACACCAAACATCTCCGAAAAAGAAAGCTTCTTTTAAAGAAGTTGCAAAGTGAGAGTTTTATTTTCTTTCTTTAACCTCGACTTATCGTTTTACTTTAAGAATCCATGTTTTCCTTTTGGGAAGAAAATATCGGTTGCCTTGTGCTCAGTACTATACACCTGAAAAAAACTGACGTCACTGCTTCCAGTTACAGCTATTTAATAGGGTATGAAAACATGGGGAACAAGAATCAATAGTCAGTAACAAGAGAAAATGAGCTAAGCATGTCGCGTTCACGTGAAAGTAGACCTCGCGGGTCACAGAAAAAGCAGACAAAAATAACCCCGCCCCACGCGCGCGAACTTTAAATAGATTTCAAATAATTATCATGGGGCACAGGAATTCCCTCTCTTAGCTTATTCTCTCTTCTTTCTCTCTTGTCATTTAATATGATCTTATTATTGGATTGCCTCGAGGCGGGTATCGGAGGAGTTAATAATGGCAATGATAATAGATCAGGTTAATAATATTTGTTCCCACCAAACATTTATTTAAAAAAAAATAACCTTTACAGGGATGGCTATAAAGTCGTCGTGCGTGTTTCTTCTCTCAGACAACTTTCTCTCGTTTAGTTTTAAAGAAATATGAAAATAATCTTTGGTGCTGCTTTCTTTGTTAGCTTGTGCTGGGGAAATGTACCTACTTTTGCCTTTTCAGTTGTGGCGATAAAAACCTCTTTTTGCTTTCCAACAAAGGCAAGAGCGTTTTTATGTACTAATGATTTTAAGTGTTGTTTTGTTTCTATTTATAGGGCAGTTAAATTCTCCGCGAAGCTGATGACCAAAGCAATGGCCAAGAGACAGAAAGCTGTTATCTTTTACGCGACAGAAACTGGCAAATCCGAGCGCTACGCTAAGATGCTTGGGGAGCTCTTCTCACACGCTTTTGATCCAAAGGTAACAAGCCATTGATGAATCTATCCCCAATTTTCACTTCTAAAAGCTCCCATTATTTAAATGAAAGTAAAAAGATATTCAAAAAACTTCACAACTTCTGAAAGGAGTGATAGCGACCCAAACTAGGCGCGCGCGCATTTATGGGATTATATGGGGAGACGCGAATGTAAACAAACATGGCGGAAAGCGAAGTGGAATGTTTAAAACAGTTCAAAATAGCAAAACGGAAGGTGGAATTGAAAGAAGAAGAAAACATAAAAACGTGAAGCTGAAGGAAGAAGATGTGCCTGGGGCGATTCTACCCCTTGAGAAAAACCACTGAGAAGAATGCTATCGGAGTTCAACTTTAAATTAGCTTTCCAAAGCAAACGTACGTATTCTCGCTGGATACGTCTTGTTTTTGGTGTTCTATAATATGCCAGACGAGGGGAGTTCCTGAAGTTAATTGTGCATAAAGGCACACAACAACTTGCGCGTCTCGTCATAATTCAAGATGGCTGCTCGACTTGTCCCCCTAAACAATCCCATAAACACAAGACAAGATGAAAATGCGCACGCGCTAAGTTTGGGTCCCAGGCTATTCTAAACCATTATCACATCGTTCTCATGCAGTTATTTTCACTGTGGCCAATCGCAGTCCTTGTATATAAACGTGGTTTATTGTAATCAATGCCACGAAGGATAGCGCAGAATAGAAAACATATAATCACCTGAAAAGGCCAATCATCAAAAGGGAGCCCTCTGATTGTCTTAAACTGAGCTGTAGTGTAAGTTAGATATCGTTTAAACTCTTAGCCTCAGTATCAGGCTTTGCTGTGGGCAGGGAAAAGGAGAGGGAAACGGCCTTCTTTTTGCTCCCTGCAAATATCTCGCAAATATGTAAATACTGAGGACTAAATATATGGCATACATGGTAAATGTCACATTTGCGTATGGCCAAAAAACAGGGGTTGTAAATAACTAGGCAAATGTGGCAAAATGTGGAGCAAATTTGTGCAAATCCATTTTATCGTCCCGTGATTACAGGGTAGTAAGCTTACTCCTTAGGTTTCGCGCGCCTTGTGCATGAGAGGACGAATTACTTTTAGACGTTATTCGAAGTCATAAACCTAACTGAACTATAGTTCACAAATGTTGGTTAAGGTTTGTAGGTCTAGTTCTTGTAGTGAACTAATCAATCATATGATTGATTGCCACCAGGTTATCTGCATGCAGGACTACACGTATCCAGACATGGAAAATGAACAGCTTGTTCTTATTGTGACCAGTACCTTTGGTAACGGAGATCCTCCTGAAAACGGAGAGGTGACTCAATACTAGTCAATTATGAACATCCTTCCCCTTCCCCTTTCACTCTTCCCTCTTCCCCGCTCACTGGACAGTAGAATTCCGTCCTTTAGTATTTTTCCTTTACTACTGCCGCCCGTCCAACCGGAGTCGTTAAAATTCTCTCGAAAAAACAATGTTGAAAATAACCCCTACAAGTTTTAGATATCTCTTTTGCGTTTATCTAATCATGGTCGTGAAATTCTCATTTCCATATGGTTGCCCTCACTCAGGATAGCCTTAAGCAACTTGGGTCATTTTCTCAAATGTCCATTGCAGCTATTTCTCTTTTTCTGAGAGTGACTGTATTTAACACAATCGCAAAGAGAGAAAGCCGCATGTTTTTCTAGAAGCCTTTTCTCGATTTTGGCGCACTCGAGACTGAAAGACTCGGCATGAATCGACTAAGATCGTCGCTTGTTATTGGGATACAGTTTCGAACCCACGCCTAATAGCCGCGCTTGGTACTGCGGGATCAGTTATGACCATCGGATTATCACTAAAAACGGATGCTCGTACTAGGAAAACCAGTCTGTCCAGTCGTCTGACCAATCTCGTTTCCAGAGTCTGCGTTACCCTTGTCCAGCGAAACGGTCCTTGTTGCCTGTTTCACTGGACAAAGGTAACGTGGACTCTGGGAACGAGATTGCAATCTGACGACAGAGAGCAAGATTGAGCAGTCCAGACGCTCGAGTTTCGGCGACTTCAAAGGCTTTACCCCCTTTTCTCCTCCTTGCTCAAGAAAACAAAACTAGAGTCTGCTCGCAGGTTGCGTGTCAGTATCATGTCTCTTAATTTCTGCGCCTTTCTTCTGCTTAGGGATTTGCTCGGTACCTGTACGAACTCCGTCACCCACCGGAAGGGTATGTAACGAAGTACTTTGCTCAATTTTCGTTCTTAATTTACTTTTTTTGTGTGTTGAAGCCCATAAAATGCAAACTATAATTAGTTCCTACTACTTGAGTAACTTTTTTTCTCTTTCTTTCTTTTCTTTTTTTTTTTTTTTTTTTTGCGTGTCAAGCTATTCACTCTGTCCTTGAAAACTTGATTTGATTTGGTAAATAAATGATTATATGGTTAGTTGTAATCATTGTAATCACCCTCTAACCAGGGCATTCCACCAACCTTGTCCCGTCTAACGACCGTGTCTCCACTAGTCTGCACTGCTTTTCACGAGGAAGAAAGGTAAAAGACTTCGAAGCGCATACAAAAGGGAGTGCTAACACAGCTGTTCACGAATATCACCGTAAATTATAACGTTCTATTGGTTTCAGAAGTCGATCAGCGCGTAACAAGCTAACACAGCTTGGTAGCTTGTTGGTTCAAAAGGAGAAAGAAAGGCACATTGAGATTAAGAATGACAGCCAACCCCTGGCTAATCTTAGGTAATATTACATGCTTTGATGCTCTAAAATTCCTTACAACTAAATGACCTTGGTCTCTTATTCGTGTTGCGCTGTTAAGGTGGACTTCCACTGCCGCGTAATTTTTACGTACTTGCGCACGTTAATCTTACGCACTTAAACAAAATAGAGGCAATGTATAAAGGGTCGCGCTCAAGGGTAAAGTTGAGCGAGGTTCAACTTTTGCGTTCACAAGCGACCTTTCATACATTGCCTCTATTTTATTTATTGACTTAAAAATTACGCGACAGTGGAAATCCACCCTTATACTTTTCAATTCTTTCTGAAATTTAACTTTATCTTTTAAACTTGCACCTTTAAAAGCTCTTTGTTTCTTGTCTTTTACCCTTTCATTCAAAGTTAAAGAATTTAATTCATTAAATTTGGAGATCCTATAATTGGTACCCATGTTATTCTTCATTGTATCAGTGATAGAAATTTGCGCTATTGACTAAGCGTTAGGTCAAGAGGGCTAAATATTGCCCAAGTTCGTCGAGGTCAATAAAAACGCAAATAAAGAAAATGCCAATATTCATCCATGTTGACCAAACAAACTTGGTAATGAAAGAATTCATTCATATGGCCCTGAGATCATCATGATTTTCCTTGGGGTACCAAAGCGGGAAATCCCGATCGGACAAGGTAAGCCCATCTTGGCTGCTCGGGTGGCCAATCAGAACACTGGATTCGCTTCGTCTTGACCGCTCGCGAAACCAGCCACACAATAAGAGCTTTTATATTAGTTGACTGAACGTACAAGTTTTTTCCAAGAGGATAGTACCTCTTATTGCTTTAGATTATGGAAGAAGTATGAACCACTGACCTTGTATTCTCACGAAACTGAGTAACTCTCAATTTTTAGGTACTCTGTGTTCGGCCTTGGTTCCAAAGCTTACCCAAACTTCTGTGCGTTCGCTCGCTCTCTCGACAAGATCATCCGGGAACTTGGCGGCGAACCAGTGTTGAGAATGGGGGAAGGAGACGAGCTTTGTGGTCAAGAGGAGTCATTTAAAGTGTGGGCTAAGGACGTGTTCCAGGTAATTACCTCTGAATTTCACCGGTATCTGGGGGACAGGAATTAAAGCTTCAAAATCGTTCTTTTATATAAGCCTGTAGCGCACCCCCACTCAGCCAATGAGCATGCAGAATAGGCCATGTGCACGATAGCGTCATTCTACTACCAGGACCGGAATCCTTTTTGTTTTGCCTTACATAGTCAAGTTTGGTAATCCAAGCGGGGTATAAATAACAAAAGCCCTAATTTGTGCAAGAAACCGATAGTAAAATGAGGTCATCGTACAAATGGCTTATTTTTGCAGTGTGCGAAGTTTGAATATTATAAATTAATTAGTCTGCAAAACAGCCGCATTTATTTTCTGCATCGTTGAGGAATTTTTTAAGTCATCAAACGAAAGGTCTGGAGCGAGCAGAGACTAAAGAGAAAGGCTAAAATACAGCAATACAGGGGTTTTTTTTCTCTCGCTTCACACAACGTACGGGCGTGTGACGCTCGCTGGCTCTTTCCCAGGCGACCATCCACTCTTTTGAAGCTACTTGCCTTAGGACTTAGCGACCAGGAAATAAACTGACCGTTTGGCACTCTAAGGTTAAATCGAATTGTTGTTTATTTTTTTTCGTATCCTAGGCCGCGTGTGATTTATTCTATATCAGTCAGGATGAAATCTCCAAGGAGGTGTCAAGTTCATTGGATAGTGTATCAAGTGGCTGGATACCAGGCCGTTTTCGGCTTACTATAAACTCTTTAGCAGACAATGAAGGAAATCAACTGGCTCAAGGTATTAATTGTACAAGGTTTGACTCAAGTTATTGGACCCAGCATAACCATTGTTTTATAAGGAGAGATCCACCGTTTTTTCTTACGTTTTGCGGATAAAGACCAGTAAGCGAATATCCATTTACACTGCTTGATAGAGCCATAGATCTATTCGGCTAACTCAGTGTTGTACCCAATTCAAATCTCCCGGGGTTAAGATTCTTTGTGTATTGTATTTGCGTTATAATGTGGAATTCACATTTAAGGGCCTGCTTACATGGAGTGGGGGACCCCGGTCTAGTGGGGTTGGTTTCTTTGTTTTCACGCTCTAGGGGACACAAAACAAAAGAAACCTACCCCACTAGACCAGGGTCCCCCACTCCATGTAAACAGGGTCTAAATGATATGGAAATTCCTGAAACAAAACGTTTTATTCCCAAAGGGTTTGAATTGGGTACAACATTGAGTTAGCCGAATAGGTCTATTAATTAAGAAACTTACCAAGTGTAAAGGTGATATGTCCAAGGCCAGCGAAGCTATAGCATCGCAAAGTCGCGAAATATGACACGTTTGTATGGTTGGGGGCACGAACTTGCCAGCCACGAGTTTGTAGAGTCATGCCTTCTTCGGAGGATCTATGGGGCCATATACCGTGGTCAAACTTTCTGTTAGGCGTTTGACCTCTAAGGAAAGACATCCTTTTCTGTGTTACTTTGAATGTTAAAGGTGCGCTATGAGTCAACTAAAACTTGGAAGTTTTAGTTTTAATTTGTTAGCTTTTTCCGTGTGCTTTGTAGGTTTGTCACACATTTGTGGGAAACCAGTGCGGCGTGCGACTTTGTTAACGGTGAAAAACTTGCAGTCCTCCGATTCAAGGTCAGTTAAAGTGAATATTCAGTAATAACCATTAAAAGTCACACCATAAGATGCTGGTGAATATAATGGGTGGTTTTGTAGTCGAAGATTTCTGAACTCGTTGTGTAATAATTATTGTACAATATACTATTCATTTCAAGGCACTTACGCAGTCATTTTGACGCCTGTCTTTCCTTTCAAAATTGAAAAAATGTGTGAGGGAGTGTCGTAGACATGCCATGGTAACCCTCTGTTCTTTTCTTCATTTTAGTCGTTCTACTATCTTAGTCCGGCTCAAGAAAGAGAAGAACAGTGAGCTGCAGTACAAACCTGGTGATCACTTGGCCATTTTTCCCGCCAATCGCCCTGAATTGGTTCAAGGTTTGATTGACAGACTGTCTGGTGACGTCGATCCAGATTTACCAATTGCTGTCGAGGTCTTGCGTGAAATCAAAGGTAAGTTGCAGGTCTCAAGTTTGAGGTCCCTTTTAGTATGATCATGATCATTATCATGGTCATCAACTTGAATATAGTCGACTGATCTCCACTAACGGCCACCTCTCTACAATGGTCACTTTCTTCTGTCCCCAAGGTGGCCGTTGTAGAGGTTCAACTTTATTTTTATTGTCATTATAGTTATAGTTTTTTTCAACATTTTTTCTATCATAATCAGTGATAATCTAGATCTTATTTCTACTGTAAACATAACCAGCACGTAGTCTACTACACAGCCATTCTCATTTGAGTCGTGTCGCAACGCTCCTCCTTCATCGTGATCAAATTCATGGTCTTTATTATCGTCTCCATTAAAATTACCGCTATTATCGTCGGCGTTATCATCATCATAATCATTATAATCATCAAAATCTTAATTAGTGTTACAGTCATCGTCGTTTTCATGATTGCTATCTTCATCATAGTCATATCATCATCATCATCATCAAAACCTTTATTTAGACAAGCTTGTGGGTCGTGTTATGTACAAGATAAGAGTTAAATTTCAAGATAGGATTTAAAATTATGTAGATTATAAAAAAACAAAATTCCCCTAAAATCGTTTTCGTTGTTGGCTGGCACTGGTGACATAGATACAGTTGACAAGGCATATTGCCTCGAAGTTAGCTTGTTATACATTAATTTTCTGTTATGTGGAAGGCAACTACAGGAAAAATACATCAGTTTATGGTGCAAAACGTAGAATGAGCCTCGTCAGACATTTGGTGTGATTCTCTTGCCAGGTCTTGTTGGTACAGCTAAGAAATGGGAGCAATTCAACCGCCTTCCTTCGCCCATCACAGTGCGAGAGGCGTTGACTCGTTACCTTGATATTACAACCGTCCCATCTCCTCAGTTCATTAAAATCCTAGCCTTAAAGGTAAATTTCGTCTTTTCTTACTAGGGATTAATAGAATCAGATTTTTAGACTGCCCTCAATCGGGATCAGAGATCAGTGAGAGGGCAAGGAATTGCCAAGTTGCTCAATAGATTTTTCTCTTTCTCACCGTCATAATTGATGTTAGAATACTCGTGCAGAATAGCCCGACAAAAACTGCTGTGTGAAGGGAGCACACTGTCAGAAATACGCTTGGGTTTTAAGTTCCAGGGGGGACATTCGGTGGAAAACAGTCGCTAAAGGGTGAGAATGGATGTCACATCTTATCCTTGAACGTTTGTTCAGTTGTAATTTTTCATTTTTGTACAGAGGATGAAGTTGCGACACTGTTTTGTTCGGATTTTGGGAAAGTCGACGTGGTTCTTTCCCTTGCAAAGGTTCGCTTCTTTTTTAGCCTGCGAGCATGCTGACAGCTCAAGGGTTAAGGTCAAAATGGTCAAAGAAACTACCCCGTTTCTGTCACCCCCACCCCCCTCTCCCTTCTATCAAAATCACCAACGCACCAAAGTATAGAGCCTTCTGGTAGAATACTTATTTAAGCCCCAGAATATAGTTTTTTTTTGTATCTATTCATTAAAGCTTAAAAGCGTTTAACCACTAATTCAAGTTCTTATCAACCCTTTTTCGTTCATTCAAAGTTTATGTTGTCATTTTTTCTGCTCAAAAAGCAATCCGAATACTTATGTAATTTTCTAGGCCGCTGACAAAGAAGATAAAGAGAAGTTGGAAGTCCTCAGCGAGGTGAGGCTTTTGTGCACTACATTTTACGTTGGTAGCTTTTTAAGAGTATGGGCTGACACAAAGATTTCAGTTTTCTGGGTATAACCATTTAGTAGGCCAGAAATTGAACAGCTGGGAAGTTCTATATCCCGGGGGGGGGGGGGCCCCCATAGAAAAGTGACGGAGATGCTCGTCGTCTCGCTTTAGGGCTTATATTGCGGATTTTGGTCACCCTTAGAGTGTTTGAGATGGAAAGTCACTATATTTGCCCATTCAGGTATCGCTTAGGACGGTGCATAAAGAAATTTACAAAAAATGCCCTGACACTGACCACACAGAAATCTCCCTTGGAGTTCAGTTTAAGCTTGAGCCACGCCCACATTGGTCTCCCTTGGGGGTTTAATTGGAATTTTCCGCCGATCATCCCCGTTACTTTTTTATGGGAGTCCCCCTGGGTTCTATATGTTCTATCTTCCTTTTGTTTCTTCTCAAAGTATCCGGCGGGTAATGCTCACAGTAGCCGTGGGGGGAATCCCCGGCGCCCGGTCCTTAATGAAAGCCCTGGCCAACCCCTTTTTGAAAAACTTTGTGTTATTAAAAATAAACTAAATGTCTTCTTTTTTTTCTTGATGTCTTTCTTCACTCAGGGCAATAACCGGTACGAAGACTGGAAGTTTGAAAACGAATGTAACATTCTTGACGTCTTACAAGATTTTCCCTCTGTTCAAGTATCCGCTGATCTTTTACTTACACAGCTACCGCTGTTACAGCCGGTAAGGATGTTAATCACCCAACATATTACCAGTGCGCAACAACACCAAGAATTTTGTCACTGAAAAATGTTTTGAGGGTTGGTTTTCAGATGGGACGACAACATAAACTCAAGTGACGTTCGCAAACTGAAACGTACATCCTTACATCCTTATGTAAATTTTGTCTTTTCATTAGGTAGTCACCGTAAATTTCCTAATTTACGCCCAGGGCGTTTATTTAATTTTAGAGGTCCAAGCGGGGGTGTTCAATAGATAGGAGGCGTTTAAAAGAGAGAGATGTTTATTCTCATACCTGTAACAAGCTCAACAAAACTAATATGCTTTCAGCGAAAATATCAAGAGAGTTTAAAAATAGAGGAATATCCACTCCATCAATTGATACTTCTAGGTCGTCTAGAGATCATATCGCTCTTTCAAATCCCAACAACAAATTCAAAATCCTCACTCAGGCTTACTGTATTTCCATCGTTCTCTATCCTTGCTTAAACTTGGCATTACACAGGATGAAATACGCAAAACCCTGTTAATCAACCAAAGAACTGAATGAATTAAATGATTTTGCTCCTTTTTGCTAATTCCTGGTATTTTAGGGTAATTCTCATAGGGGGCGTCTATTATACAGGGAGTGTTTATTAGGTAGCTCATTTACGGTATTAGTAAAACGTTATTGGAGGCTAGGAATGTTATTTCGCGTCTTTTTGCTTCGTATGTGAAAACTGGCTCTTAGTATTGTAGAGCTACAATCTTCCCTGTTGTAACGCGCGTGTTTATTGCAGTTTATGGTCACTTGACATCTACAACGAAACCCTTTCTTGCTAAAAGTTTTTTAGTCTTCAGCTGTCGACTTTGCGAAAACTGGAGGTGGAGGGCTATTGTCACCCCGAACGTTGGTCGTAGTGTTAGTTAAAAATGGTTTTGGTGCCCGCTTCCCCCTTTCATAGAGCAAGATTGCACTTGCGCACAGCACGTGACAAACAATTGTTTTCCTATCAACAGCGTTTTTACTCTATCTCATCGTCCCCAGACCTCTTTCCTGGTGAAGTTCATCTCACTGTAGCAGTTGTTCAATATGTTAAAAGAGGTAAGCAGGCGACCCCATAGTAATACGTTTCTTGGCACTGTTCACCATAACGGTGCTGTTGTTGTTTTCTCTATTGCCAGTGTAATGGGGCAACTCGCTCAGCCGAAACGAAGAGGTACCGAACTTTCTGTCTCTCTCGTTTTGACAAGGCTTTATTGGACTCTTCGGTTGTGACTAAGGCCCGGTTCAGACGCCGAACTTTTCATGAGTCGAACCTAATACGTTGAATTAAGCACATGAAAAGTTCGGCGTCTGAATCAATTAGGAACGCCTGTTTCAATTTGAAACGGCACAGCCGTTTTTTTCGCCTAGTCCGGCCGGGAATTTCGCCTTTGGAGCGACTTTGGAACGGCTTTGATTCAGACGCCGAACTTTTCATGTATCGAACCTAATGCATAACTTGTTATAACGTATTTTGTAAGCAGTTTGTCCGAAATGAGCATTTTCCGCCTTTTGAACTTAGTTCAGATGCAATTAAGATCGGCGTCTGAATCCAATTCAGCCGATCTTAAGAATTTGGGTCGGCCTTAATTCGAATTAGGTTCGGCTTATGAAAAGTTCGGCGTCTGAACCGGGCCTAATGCTTCTATTACCAAACAATTCCTCTTTAAAACCTTTTTTTACTTTCAAGCAAAACTTTACGAAGTTATATAGAAAGTTTTAACGATGATGACGCAAGTTCCAAAGATGAACGCGGGTGGGATTTTGTAGGACAACATCTGCAATCTACGCAATCGTTTTGGTGAATGCTGTTGTTCTTACTCCATTTCAGGAGGCAAGGGACCCATGCATCACGGTGTCTGCTCAACCTGGCTGAACGGCTTGAAAGCGGGAGATGAAGTACCCTGTTACGTAAGACAGTAAGTAGTCAATTCATGTTAAACTCAGTTGTGTCTGATGAATGACGAAAATGCGTTTACAGTCAATTCTGTACTGGCCCCAAGGGGCCAAAGTGGCGCGAGAAAGGAAGGCTCAGGAATAAAAAATGATGTAAATAACTCCTGGTGACACGTCAAAACACAAGCAGGTTAATGCTGTTGTGTTCTTTGTCAAATCAGACAGGGGAAACGAAAGCAAGCACTCACGTTGGCTGCATCTTGATGGATTTAACATCAGTTAGAATCTGATTACTCCATACGCCACTTCCACATTTCCCATAATGCACCATATTTGCCTCCCAAAATTTTGTATAAGCAAACATTGCTTTCAATTTCTCTTGGGACGGCTGTAATACCCAGGAGAAATGAAAAACAAAGGTTTTGCAAAATTTAAGGGGGCAAATAAGGTGCTTGGGGGAAATGTGGAAGTGGCGTATAGGCACACCCTTTGATGGACAGCTAGCGAGAGGGAGTCTCTAGGTTTCTTGCCTGTGTGCCTAGACCCCACACAATAATTACACCGCCAGTCATAGAAGGATAAGCAGGCCTGAGTATGCCCGACTTATAGAGGTCCACGATATATACTCGAGACTTCAAATGACAACACCACGTGAAGTATAATTCCGTTCAGCGTGTCCAAACTCCAGTCGAGGTTACCGGGAATAATCTTGTTAACGCCCTGGTAGCCACTCATTGTAACTCAGGGGGGGATTCTGAGATCCTCAAGTAAGTGGAGGGCATCGTCCAGACCTTAAGAAAAGTGAGGGAGGGGGGCAGCCTCGAAAACAATAGACCATTTCCTAGTCTTTCAAATGGAGGCTAAGCGCAAAATCTTGCTTGTGTTAATAAACAAAGGTCCAGGTAAGTGTTATCAGCCGAGCTGATAACACTTACCAGACCTTGATTATTTAGGATATCACAAAAACCGAATCTAATAATTGTTTTATTATACATTGTTTTGAAGAAAGTAACGACAAACACACCGTCGCAAGGAACCTGAATTGATATTGTTATTTGAAATCATGCATTGCGCGCGCAACCCACAGATTAGTCAGTTTTCTGCTAGTTGATAACTAACTAATCTGTGGGTTGCCCTGATTTCCAAAATTATCCGTGGGCTCTTAGCCAGTGAGAAGACAGATAGTGAGTACAATGTAAAATAATGAGTTTTATTTGCATGAGAATAGAAAAAATCATTTTCACGTCAACGGCTTCGCACTTGGTTTCGCTTTGAAACAGCGGCTTGGCGCAATTCGGAAATGGTCTACTTTTCTGGGTCCTGCGGGCGTCAGTTTGGCCTAAAAATAAAGTCGGGTGCGGGCCCCCGAACCCCGTACCCTAGATCCGCCAATAATAACAATCAAGTATCAGGCTTTGAGGATCATTGTCTTGCCATTCAGATACTTAAACTCTTAAAAATCACTTTCTTTTGTACTGTTTGTTCTCTCTGTTCTTTGGTTCGATCTTTGTTTATTTGTTTTACAGAGCGAAAACTTTCCATATGCCTGAAGACGGCACAGTTCCAATCATCATGGTGGGACCTGGGACGGGTATCGCTCCATTTCGCAGCTTTTGGCAACAACGTCAGTTTGACGTCATCAACAAACCTGCTCCGAAAGCAAAAAGCCACGATGTTACACCAGACTCAAGCCCTTTACCACGGCGCCGCGTGTCCTCTCCTGCATTTAGCGGTAATTCGTTAAACCCTTCATCTAACAGATGGGGAACGATGGTTCTCTTTTTCGGATGTAGAGATTCAAAACAAGACTTCATCTACAAGAATGAGTTGGCAAAAGTGAAAGATGACGGCGCGTTGACACAGGTTTTCCTAGCTCTTTCACGAGAACCCCAGCAGCCAAAGGTAAGGGGCATGGCTCGGTTATCATTCGATACACCAACGGGCATTTTTGGCTGGATGACCTCTAAAACCCATAGCCTTAGACCTTGTAGCTATGTTTTTGCAACCCTCTCCTGGACTAGACATTAATATTCCATCCCGGAAGTCCGCAGTTTGATTCTTCGTCAACACTGTACTAGTCCATGTAGATTGTTGCAAAATGATATCATCTCTCTGGCCAAAACTAAGATATTTCTATTTCCAACCTCAGACTAATGTGCTCGAAAACCATATTATCATCATATCATCATCATCATCACCATCGTCGTCATCTTCACCACCATTGTCCAGTTTTCGGCCTTCTCCTAAGTCGATCGAACGCTAAAAACTTCCTTCTCCAATCTTTCCAATCTCTAACGCGTAGGAAGAAACCAGAGAAAAGAAGAATCGAGGGACTATTTTAACCTGGCAAACGTCACACGCATAGCCTGAGTATCAGGCGTTTCTGGGGAAAAGGAGGAAGAGAGAGGCGAAAAGGGGAGACAGCGACATGGGGGACCCAAATAGGTTTTTCGGGACCCGGGTTTTCCGTTATTTGAAGCTCGGGATTCGGGATTTGAAAGCAAAATTGGGGCGAGTTTCGGTATTGAAAGTATGCCCGCGAGGTGGGATGCCAAATATAACCCTTGAGATTACGGGATTGTACAAATTTTGGGTCGGGATTACGGGATTGAAGAATCTCATTGGGACCCTGCGACATGTCCTCTTTGCTAACGTCTCAGGAAGGTTGATTCTCTGGCTACACACGCACGACCTCTTGATCATATTTCCACTTAGGAAAACTTTTCTTAGAGTTATACGAAATAAAAAGAAAGTTTATCGAAACTTTGTTGTAATAGCTTCAAACCTGTAGTAAATACCACTTTCCTGAAATAAGTGTGACTTACCAGTGTTAACAATCATGCGTTCTTTTCAATCGTACAGAAGTACGTTCAAGACGTGATGAAAGAAGAGGCATTTGACATCTGTGAACAACTCTTGAGCCAGAAAGCCCACTTTTACGTGTGTGGTGATGTTAAGATGGCTGACGGTGTCTGTAAAACCCTGCAGGTAGTTATTTGTACGTTTTTTGTTACTGAGATAATTATCACGAAGTAGCTTTCCAATTGCGACTGCTTGTCCTTAACAGTAGGTATGTCGGTCTTAACTCTAAACTGTGGACGATCTAACTTCAATTTAAATCACACAACGCGATTATATGAAATATGATGCCACCCTCTCAACCAATCACAAACAAAAAAGAGTCTAGTAGTGTCTTAGTCGAAAGTGTTTTCCCGCACTCGGTGTCGATCTCTGATAATGTGATTGGATTAAGTTTGGCGCCACCTTCTCAACCAATCAAAAACTAAAAAAAATCTAGTAGTATCTTGGTGGTTTTCTGCGCTTGGCTCCAATTGTATGCAGTGGCTTCCATCTCGGACTATGTTTGGTCGGTAACAACTACTACCTTACATTAAACAGCCCGATTTCCAATTTCTCGTAGGCACTCCTTCAAGAATACGCTGCCATGTCTCACCAAGAAGCTCAAGAGACAATTGATAAATGGAAGGTATTGTTGAACAAGTACAGCCCAATTTTTCCTTGCATGATAAAACTCATAGGTCACGAGGACAGTCTCAGGGCTCGCACAGTCTTGAAAATTCCTTTGAATTTTAGGGGAAGTCCTTGAAAAGTCTTTAAATTTCTGTGCAAGTCCTTGAAAAGTCCTTGAATTTTTTTCAACTTTGAATGTAGTGGCGTGGAAAGTTTTTTTGATGCTTTTTGGTTGTCCAAGACAAATATTGATCATGGCTCAGACAATTTAAAGGTTACTTATATAGAGTGCACAATAATTAACTATCAATTTAAGACAAGTGAACTGAAAAATGTAGAGAAGATGGTGAAGCAAACAGTTCAAGACTTAACGCCTTATTAGAATAGAATGGGAATGTGCATTTTTGTACAATCTGTGAAATCATATTCCTAGTAATTGGACCTCTAAAAATCTAATGTGGTCCTTGAGAAGTCCTTGAAAAGTCCCTGAAAATGGTTGCATTTCTTTGCATGAACCCTGATAGAGTAAATGGCTGTCATTTGATTTTGTTTGAGTTCAGATGGTTACGTCATCGCGCGGTGACGTTAAGTAGTTGGCCTTGAATCTTTCATCCTTTCTCGTCAATTGAAAGTGGACGTAAAAGAACCCACACAGCTATTCAAAAGATGGAGGGGTCCTTTAGCCCTGTGGTGTGGTCTTCTATCTTTAGTGGGAAGATGGGACTGTAACGAGCCCTCAGTAATTCCCCTGCCAAGAATAAATTAATGTAATTATGAAAAGTATTACAGTTACTTTGGTGGTTAAACCACATATATGAAAAAAGAGAACACAGATTTGAAAAAGAGAGCCTTTTACATTTGGAATAAAATCGCAATAAGTCTAAGGTCTTTTTCAGAGCTCTGGGCGGTATCATGAAGATATATTTGGAGTGACGCTAAAGACACGAGAAGTCACCACCCGCGTGCGATCCGCGGCAAAAAGGTTTGTTACTAAGCTGCCGTTACTATTAATTTAAGAAACAAAAGCTTTGATTGTCGATATGAGCAGGATATCGGGTTGTGTCATGTGTCAATATAGGCCTATCTTTATTACCATGGTTCTGCCAATATAGGCCTATCATGCTTAGATGTTTCTAGGTTTTAGACATTTTGTCAATGTTTATCTATTAAATAGTGTTTCATTCGTCAAGTAAACAGTGTTATCTGCTCATTGAACACCTGAAGTTTGGTCACTCTGCTGCAGCCCCACCGCCACCCCCACCCTTCTTTCTCTCCAACCCTACCCCACCTTCTCTAAGTGGCGTGTTGTATTCACTCCTTCCTGCTTTCTGTCTTTTTTCCCTCCGTTTAGATCATGGGAGTATTTCAGACGTCCGATTTTATCTAAAGTAAGTCATAGACATTATTTGATTAAGGCGGGGGCGGGGGGGGGAGGAAACTAGCTTCCAGGCGGGAATAGGCACGGGTCAGCCTAGTCCCTAGGCGTTCTCTCTTGCCCCGTTGTCTGGGCAAAGTCTCGTGGTAGAGTCCAGGATTGACCCAGCCGAGAACGCCTAGGGACTAGGCTGGGCACGGGTAACTTGTAGACAGGTATATAGCTGTGTTAGGGCCCGAACCATCTTATACAAGCTTTATTTCTTGCTGTATTTCTTGTAGAGGCTAACTACAGTTTATTCTTGATATAAACAGAAGTACCAAAGTCTTAAAGCCGTCAGTGAGATGGAGGATGGTGCAACCAGTGTAAGTACATAACAAAGACAAATACATTTTTGATAAAAATCGCAAAATAGTGCGGTTATATTTTGGTGTAGAATACTAGAGACCATTAGATTTTAACACGAGGACGACAACGAGATTTTCTCAATATTAGGCTAGTGAGCTCGCGTGAACCAACTTCATTTTGGCGGGAAAACGCCGGTTCTAAGGAAAATGTTTTAAGTTATCAAATGTTAGAAATTTTATCGTTATGCGATCGGGAGAGGGCATAAAAAACCGTGTTAACTTTGGGAGTAAAAAGTAAACGGAATCTTTTCGCCGGGAGTGTTTATTTTTGAGAACACTCGAAACAACAAAAAAAAAGCTCGGAGGATTTTTGGCTAAACTAGGTGAAATTTAGCCGATCCCCCCTTTGAATGTTACTAAACTAAAGTGATCCCCCCTAATAACTTTTGACGACTTTCGCAATCCCTCCCCCATGTCTTCCTTTCTCAAGCAAATTTGAGTGCCCCCTCCTTCCTCTGAATCCTTCCAAAGTTTTCAGTGACCCCTCTTTTGGGTTCTCAGTTACGACCGATCCCTTCTTTTGTTCTCCTAAAAGTCTAGTGATCCCCCCTAAAACCCTCCGTCCGCCCCCCGGCGATAAATAATGACCGGTCCCTAAAGGTCTCTACGTACTAGCGGTTTTTCAGTGAATCAATTAGAAGCATCGCTCTCCATTTCCATCGATTGATAGTCAACAATCTGCCGCGATAGAAATCTCAAATCCACCTTCTATTTGAAGAGTACTACTATGAATACATGAGGGGGTCTCGTTTGTTATACGTCTAAAATCCTGCAAATTATTCTCTTTACAGACGACGAAACAGGGATCTCCTCAGTTTGTTAGAGCCTCTTCCACAGTGTACTAACCATTGAGGAGGAGATGGACAAGTCAACAAACCGACGGGAATCAACAAATATTGCAAGAACGCATAGAATAAACTATTGCCGGAATATCGCACTCAATAGAGAGATTAAGATTCACGTTTGCGCCAAATGGCAAACGTGAATTTGTAGCACGTGATCAACTTTTCCCGTTAATTGTCGTTTAGTGATTATTACTTCTACCCAAAAATAAGTAGTTTCAAGCCAGTTTTTTCCATAAGAATTGTTCTGGACAGTTTTTATCTGCTTCTTTTTCATTCCGAGAAATTCTCAACCTGAATCTGACGTTTGCCGTTTGCCGTAAACGTGAATCTTAAACCCTCTAATCTCCATTCACTAACGTAAATATACGGCTAAAGTACTTCACCTAAAATACTTCAACTGTAATGGTTGCCATGCGCGGGCATTCTAGTAGTAAAGCAACTTTTTCTGACCGATGTACATTTTTTCCTATCCAAAAGATTGAAGACCTTTTTCGGAAATATCCTACATTAATTTTGCTTGTTTGCCGCTACTTTAGTCTCTGAAACTGAAACCATCAGTGATAAAATTAGCTGATATTATTCGCCGACAAAACGCAAAGCGACTGAGCGAGAGTTCCTAAGCAATATTTAATGATTATTTAACCAATCGGAGTGCGCACTTTACTTAAAATAGGTACGGATTACATATATATTAGCAGTTCTTGTTTGGAATACAGTGGTAGTTTCAATTTAACGAGGTGGCGGGAAAGGTACTTCATATTTAGACTAGAAAAATGGTAAAAGCCTTTAAAATAGCATATACTGTTGACGCTTATGATATTTTAAAATTATAGGTAACATCCAATTATATTTACTGAAAAAAAGGAATTGTTTAGTAAGCGCGTTCTTTCTTGAGGTTTCCGGTTTAGAATCCCCTTTTTTCTCTCTTTTCTGCGTTGTCGCGGTATTGTGAAATTTCACCCTAGTAAGCCTACGTAATGTTGAGGGTGACCTAATTGTTATCCCTTACCTCGACCTTGATTATTCCGGATATGAAAAATACCGAATCTACTTATTTATGTTACACTAAAATTTGAAGAAATAACGACAAACATACCATCTCATGGAACACAGTTTGACATTGCTCTTGGAAATCATGCATTGCGCGCGCAACACGCAGATCAGTCACTCATCTGTTAGCTGATAACTCACTAAGGACGCTTTTGAGTTGTCATACTTCAGGATTTCATCCACATACTTTCAAGTTAGAACCACTTATATACTCGCGATTCTTTTAATAGAATGTTCCATCATAAATTTTGAAAAGTTCTATCAGTTACTCATAATCGTAAGCAAAGGTAGTGTTTGGTGAATATACAAACCAGATGTTTAAAAAAACTATTTAGAAAATGACATCATGATGTTATAATTCCTGAGGAGAGAAAAATAATTCAATTTAATTTATATATTTTAAACACGGAGGTAGGTACGTGTTGCGTGTAGTGGTTTCGATTCTTAGCATATACCACTGTTGCGTGCAGACATCAGGGGCCGGTTGCTCGAAGCCTGGTTAGCGCTAACCTTTGGTTAAGAGGTATCAAAATGTATAGGTTTCCATGGTATTTAACGCTGGTTAGCACTAACCATGCTTCGAGCAACCCGGGCCAGACTTGCAGGTGTAGTCAAACTTGCTATAACTGGATATAACTTATTGCGCAAATGAATTAAACTTTGCCTTTAAATAGAGACTTGTTGCTGCGTTGGTGGGGAACTGAGTGAAACATAAGTATTCAGTTTTGTTATCTGGCTTTACCACCATGAAAAATTTAAAAACTGCCCACTTGCGAGAGCAACCCTTTTTACCCCCTACTTGCGGCTCCCTCCCTCCAGTAGCGGGTTCCCGGTCCAATCTCGACCCCAGAACTCTTCAGCGCATGACCACCAGAAACAGATTGCGTAAGCACTGGGGTCGAGATTGGTTTCCAGTCTCACTACTATGTGTGGCCTGCATCGCAGACTTGATCTAATCACGGTTGGTAACGTCTGCGAAGCAGCGCTGGTATCCTTGTTCTGGGCTCCCAGCGAACTCAACGGATGACTGGAAATGCGTTTCGAATTTTCAATAGCCTGAGAAAACAGCCGACATTTGACGACGCTACCACTGGTTTCCCCGCCAAATGACGTCTGAGAAACGAACGCAGAAATTCCATACTGATGATGCGTCATTACCCAGATCTGGGTGGTGACGCGTCATCAGTATGGAATTTCTGCGCTCGTTTCTCTGATGTCATTTGGCGTGAAAACCAGTGGTAGCGTCGCCAAATGTTGGCTGTTTTCTCAGGCTAAATTTTTAACAGCTGACCAATCATGGCCCTGATACACTGCTAGTGGCCCAGAACAAGAATTTCGGCGCTGTTTCTCATACGAAATTTAGTTCCGTCCGTATGATTACTCTCCGTATACCCTGTCTGAGGAGAGACTAAAATTAAAAATATTACTTATCTAGGGGCCAGCTGCAGAAATCTTACATCGGGCGTTGCCACTAACGTCTGACGTTCAGTCCAGTCAATTCTCCACTTTGAAGCCAGACTAAGTAGTTACGCCTGGGTTCACGGGTCCGAAGGGACGATTAGGACAAATCCAGGGTTAGTTACAATAGCAATCATCATATGCACATAGTCAATCCAGGATTATAGTTAACCGCACCGGTCTAGTGGCCCTTCTCTTAGTACTTTTTGTCCCCGAATAATAATCCGCTGGTTTTTGGGCCAAAACTTGCACTACATTTCATCAGTGTTTTTATTCTAAAAGGTGTTAGCGGCCCGAAACTACTCTCTTTTGAATAAATCTGGCTACATGTGGCCTCATTTAAGAGTGAGGGATTCCTAGTTCTTCCCTTCTAGTTTTATTCCCCGCTTTAGCCTTTATAGCAACTATCCCTAGCACATTCAGTGGATCCTTGAAAATTAATCAGGGGTCGCACTCAAAGGGGACCTTTTTTGCTCTTATACCTCCAAACTGAATCGAATCAGTGCATGAAATAAATGACCTGAAATGAGCGGAGTCAAGCTGAAGCGCATTGGCAGTTCATGAATGATCCGGTCCCTTACAGTTTCTTTGGGGTGTGGATGGTGCGATCCCTAAGGCTTTGCGGTGTATGTGCCGTCAGCCAATTAATAGCAATAGGCCATTTCTCGTTTTAGTGAAAGCTTTTGGAACTGGGAAATGGCCTATCGCCTCATAGTACTCATTAAGGCATAGTGTTGTCACATGACGTCACGGCGGCCATATTGGTGTCCCAAAACAATGAAACGGCGGCCATGTTGGTGTCCCAAACCAATCCTGTGGGAGTTGAACTCTTTTCTTATGGAAACTCTTTCTTTTGTTATAATGAATTTTCATAGATGCTGGCCACGTGAGTGAAAACACTCTATAGGGGAAGGCACTGTCGGGGTTATGTTGTGTTATGGCGCGACTCCGGACTTCGAGATTCAAAAAAACTTGAGAGGTATTTCTCTCACACTGAGGACAGTCTACGCTGACTGTGCGTAGAGCGAGCGAAAAATACAAGCGCGCCCCTTCCACAGGACGGGAGGTCATGTCTACAACCGTCCGCAGCAGTAGAGAAAAGATTTGCAAGAAGGATTTATATGTTTAGAAATCCACAAAAAATGAAAGATAAAAATGCCTTTATCCTTAGTAGTGAATTCAGAGCGTTTATAATTGTTTTGACTTTCGTGGCTGTTTCGAGTAAGAGGCTTATAGACAACTGATAGAATTGCTCTTTAGAGACTTGATAAGGCCTTTTTGGGCGTTGCTATTTATAAAAAAATTCTATGGATGGTGTCTGGATACGAGAGAATTAAACATGCCAGAAAAAAATCGTTCATTAAATCAAATTAGGTTATCAAACGTTTTGGCCGTTAATTAGGTAAAAAAAATCTACCTGGTCTTGTGTTTATTCTTGTGGCCCTCGCGCGTTTTTTGCGCTTCTCCTGCTCAGCTAAAAGCTAAGGGGGGGCTTTTGGAAGCAAGAGGACTGTGTTCAACGTCCGCTCAACTTGCTATGCAGGACGGGAAAAAGCCTTGGACGGATGTTTTTTTGAACTCGTTTTACCCGCGAAAGTATTGAAATAACTTTGTCTCAAGTATTAAGCCAACAGAGGTAGGTTTACATCTCGAATATACATACAAGTTTTAAGCATGTTTTATCCTCCATTTACATATGATTTTTTATGGAAACTATGCTTTCTTTTTTCAATTAAAGGTGTTTTTAATTCCCTAGAGCGCCACGTGCTCAAAACAGCTTGACTGCGTTTGTCATGCAGCATGGAAATTTCAAGCATTCAAAAGAGTGATTAAGAGCTTAACTCATAACTATGATAAAAGAAAAACGGTTTACACGCAATGATTTTCGGGAAAGAGCGGGCCTTTCAAAGCGAAGAAACAGTTTACGAGGTAAACAGGTAAAGAACTTTAATTTCTGCAAAGCTAATTAAGCGTAGCTCGTTTGTGATGTCTGTTTTTCAAATATCATTTCAAATCCCTTTTAATCTTTGCCATCCTTGTTCCCGTAGGTTTAATTAACACTTCTTGTGTTTTCGTAATTGGTATTGCGGACAAACACAATAATTTATTTTGTTATTTTGAACTCAAAACATGTTGTGGTTATCCTGTGTCATATTAAATTTGCAGGGTCTTGTGGGGGGAGGGGGGTGGGGAAGCCTGAAATCCCGCATCCCGTTTTCTTTTTTTTTTTCATCGCCTTCCCGAATTGCTCTCTTATTACCAAAAACAATAAAATAACATAATATAAAGTAAGAAGCTATGGCACACTCTATAGTTTGGTTTGAAAGGAGACAACACTTGATAACATGCCTGGTTGATTAGCATTTTGCTACTTACACATATGATTTCCCGAATTCCCGAACAGACAGGCAAAAACTCAAGCATCCTGTGCTTAAATTGAAACACCCTTTCCAGACCCTGTTATATGTTATGGTTAAATGTACCTTGGTATAATAACTGGCAGTTATTGGATGGAGCTAAGTATAATCTAACCGCTTTGGGGACACCCGCTGAATAAAGACACCTCATTATAATTATGGACAGTTTTCTTTGCTTTTTTAGAAAGCCCTCACATTTTCTCTAAATTCACCTACTTTATAATGGACTTCCGCTAACCCTTTAAGCCCTAAGAGTGATCAGCATCAAATTTCTCCATGTAATGTCGATGCTTTGTAAAACAGAGTGGTCATGAGAATTACGGACGTGATCACACAAGATGAATTTACTTGATATTTTGTTAACTTCTCTCCACTTCCTCTGTAGGAAATGAATTTGGGCAACAAATGAGAATTCAAATTTTGATCGTAGGGTTTAAAGGGTTGATGCCGACAACAATCACCTGTAATTTCCCAGTCAACACAATTACTAGACTCTTGATCTGCAACAGAACTGTTTTGTAGTGATTAGTAACTATTTAAGACTCGTTTTCTTATCTCCATTTTCTTTATTTTTCCTTCCTACTGATAGTTTCATGATACTGAGTGAGAGCAAGCATTTGCTTGTGACTTTCATTTGACAGCCTGAAAAGTCAGAGGATGTAAAAAAGCTATTGTTGATTTATCTATCATCTGTAAGTAGTTTCTGCTACCCTTTACTGTACACTACTTTAAATTACTTTGCTTTGTTTTGCCTTGCTTTGCTTCACCTTTACTTTCCTACACTTCAGTTTACTTCATTTACTAGAGGTTTCAATAAGCA